TGAACATGTTCCACTTTCTTTGCAACCTCTTCAAAAGCTTCCTTTTCTTTACGAACTTTGCTTATCTCGCGCCTCAAAATACAGAATGCATTAGAAATGTGTATGTTCACTTCATCCAGAGCTTCGTCGTCGGGTAAATCTTTCTTTGAACTGCCCGAGGAAGACAGCTCGGTCTTTTCCACGCCGTTGTACTTGTGTGAGTCACCTTTCTTCGAAATACGGTTAGAAAGCATTTTAACTCTCTCTAACAAGACGTCGACAGGTACCAAATGCAGAAAGTGTTCCAAGAATGAACAAAAGCTTCTTTGTCTACATATTTCGCGGAAAATGCACGAGGTTTTGATTAATTCTTGGTATTCCGATTTCTCGGAAACAACTGGCCGTTTACTCATGCATTGATATGAAAACTCATGTGTGTTTCATGGTCCACTTCGTTTCGTGTGCTACTTTATGCAAGAATTGAACTAGTCACAACACTCAAGACTGTTTTGACACCTCCCTAACCGTCCTGAGACATCCGATTTGTTTACGAAAATTGAATATTGTGTGAATTTTCCTACACAAACTAATATATCCTTCTCAAGGAGCTCCAAGGAGGTTATAATGAGCACTCAGCAGCCCTATCTGGCTTTATCAAGACCTGATCCGACAAGATTAGATATGGGTTAACCGCTTACAAGGAATTACGAGATGCCAGGACGGTTAAACTAAATAAAGCAATTCACCGTACTGGTACCTTTCCTGAGAAACTAATTCAGAGAAATTGCTTTCGCTAAAAACCTAAAATCTTCAGAAAAGACAAGTCTTTGCGAGGTTTTGTGTTCATTTGTATCATGTTTTTCAATGTGCAGATCATAAGTCAAAGTAGAGGAAACAACTTGTCACGTTCAGCTTCTTAAATTCATTAATTGTCCTTCCCTTCCCCGATAAAAAATTTTTAATTATGCCCCAACAGAATTCCTTTATGTCCCTATTCCATTCGCTTACACAAGGTGTCCACTCAATAGAACGGAGCGAAGTAGTACACTGGGCGATAGCCGAACGGTGTGATGAAAATGGGAGGAAGTTACGCTTCCGACTGGAACATACAGGCATCTTGAATCGCAGATTGCGACTGTAAAAGAACGTCTTCAAGATATTGATGAAAAATAGTCGTCACTGTCTTCTAAGTATGATAACTTACTGGTAGCTACTCAAGGTGCAAACCGAAAAATACAAGAATTGGAGAAGTCACGGAAGGATTTGTAAAATACAACATCAAATCTTGACGAATCGATGTATGGTAATGAGGTGGCCATTGATCATGTGCAGCAATATTTATGACGTGGTTGTCTCGAGATTGTTAGGATTCCATGTGTTCCTCAGGATAACCCCAAAGAATTAGTAAAAGGAGTTGGATCTCTTATAAATGATATCTCGACGGCACACAGATGGTATGATACGAAGAAGGTTAAAAACAGAATTATCGTCAAGTTCGTACAACGTGATAAGCGAGAAGAAATGTACAAGAGTCGTAGGAAATGGATAGGGAAGAACACCTCGGATCTCCAATCGGTTCGTGAGGAAGTAGGAAATTAAAGAGCATTCCATCTGGAAGCAAGATATACATCAGGCGCGTAGCGTCCTATACGTATATATGCACGTGCATACTTGAAGTGACTGGAAAATTTTGAAAACAATGTTGTGTTTACGCCAAGTTTGCCCAAAGTAAGGGCAAGACGCTTTGCTCTTTGCTTGTATTCACACAACTATTTCGAACAAGAAGTAAAGAACGCAGAATTTTCACTCAGTTTACATAGGTTTTTAGATCATATATACTTGTGCGTACTTGAAAAAATAACTACGTTACACGCCTGCACATAAATGAATCGCTTACTGCCTATAGGAAACGCCTATTTGGAAGTACACACAAGTTCAGGCCAGACAACAATTTCAACTTTCTGTGGACAGCTAATGGCACGATATATCTTCGTGAGAGCGAGTCTTCTTCTGAGTTTTGCTTTACCACGTTTAAGGAGTTTGATGATTTTTGTAAGCCGCTTGGTTAATGGCTGCGAAATCAAGTACTTGTGAGTTGAACTACTGTTGGTACCTACCATTTTTCAATCTTTATGATCCTGAATTTAATGCAGTGATTGGTAACTGGCATTATGACTTTAACAATGATTTAGATCTTTTTTAATATTCTCCCAAACCCTAATAAATTTGATGATAAAGATCCTGATAACATGCTTAATTGCCCACACTCGAACTATGATTCCTTAACTCAGCTGAATCAATTCTTTGATAGAACCACATCAAAGTGTCTCTCTATGTTTCATTGCAATATCAGAAGTGTCCCAAAAATTTTGTCTCTACTGAGCGAGTTTCTGCATTCTGTCAACCGCAAACCTGATAGATTAGCTATCACTAAAACGAGACTGTCAACCTGGACAGTGACAAATGTTGATCTCACTAGTTATGATTTTTTTCACACTAACTCGCCAACACAGGCTGGTGGCTCTGGATTGTATGTCTCTAAAAATCTTAAGACCATTCATCGACCAGATTTAAAGTTTAGTATACCATTGGTTGAATCATCCTGATGTAAAATTATTTCAGGGAATGGCAGACCTAATATAATTGTTGGTTGTATGTATCGGCATCCTACCTGTAATTTACCTGCTTTTACTCCTGAATTTGATTCTTTGCTTGAAGAGATAGGACAGTACGAGATATGCATTCTAGGAGATTTCAATATAGATCTCCTGAAATATAGTGAGTTTTTGTTACCAGTAGAGTACCTAAATATCCTCTATTCGAACGACTTATTACCTTTAATTACAAAGCCAACCATGCAGGGTCACTCATCATACCTCTACTATGATTGACCACATTTACACAAATTCCAATCTGAGCGGAGTCGATGCAGGTATTGTACTGGTTGGTATCTCAGACCATCTACCAGTGTTTTGTATACTTGATAGGCAAATATCCAGGTGTAAGAGAGAATCCTATTTTCGTGATTATAGCGGCGAATTTGATGTGGACCAGTTGGACCAGTATATTAGAGATGTTGATGCAGTCACGTTTGATTAGATCAATGTCTGCAATGAATCTAATGATATTCATGAGGAAGCTGGTAATTGTATAAGTATACTTAAACAAATTGCAGACAAGCATGCACCTATAAAGCAAGCATCTCAAAGTAAAAGGTGACACTTGGCCAAACCGTGGCTTACTAAGGGTGTACTGACTTCAGTTAAGCATAACCAAAGGTTATATATAAATTAAACTTCCTTAGTAGAAATCTTGATAAGGCAAGAGAATGTAAGCTTTATGCCAATGCACTAAATAGAATCAAAAATAAGGCCAAGAATGATTATCACTGTCAGCGCTTGAAATTCTACCAAAGTAATTATTAAGAACACCTGGAAGCTCATAGGTACCTTAGTTAAGAGAAAAAATAAAGACCAAAATTGTCCTGTTAGAATGATAAGAAATAACAAAGTTTTCACTAATCAATATGATATTGTTGAGCAGATTAATTAGCATTTTATCAATGTTGGCCCCAAGTTGGCAAAAGCTATTCAAAATACTGAGGACGATCCATGTGGGCTTATTAACTATTCTCCTTTACATAGTCTTTTTGTGTCTCCATTTACAGAAGAGTGGGTTGCTAACGTTTTCTCTTACTTAAATGATAAGAAATCATCATTGGATGTTCCAAATAAATTGATTAGATTAGCCTCTAAGACCCTCTCCAAGCCATTTGCATACATTTTAATAAGTCAATCTCTACAGGCGTAGTACCTGATGTGTTTAAATTAAAGTGTCAAAAGTAACTCCTACTTTTAAAATTAAAGTGGAACGTTGTCTGATACTGTGGAGGCGCGGTGGCCTCATGGTTAGTGTGCTCGACTGCGGATCGAGTGGTCCGGGTTCGAGCCCCGGCCGGGAAATTGTGCTTTGTTCTTAGGCAAGAGACTTTACTCTCACAGTGCATCTCTTCACCCAGGTGTATAAATGGGTACCGGCAGTTTAATGCTGGGGGGGGTAACCCTGCGATGGACTGGCATGCAATCCAGGGGAGAGTAGAAATACTCCCAGTCGCTTCATGCTACAGAAACCGGAGTTAAGCACCGGCAAAATGGGCCACCAGGCTCGTAAACAGACTTTACCTTACCTTTGTCTGATCCTAGTAATTACCGGCCAATAGCTACACTGTCTCCTTTCGGTAAGACCTTGGAACGAGTCATTTATGATCAGCTAATTCAGTATCTTGATAAGCATGATGTATCATTTAAGTATCAGTTTGGTTTTAGAAAAAAACATTGTACTGAGCAAGTGATTATGGAGATCACAGATAACCTGAAGGCCTCTATTGACAGCAATTTTGTATCCTGTGGCCTGTTCTTAGATTTATCAAAAGCATTTGATACAGTAAGTCATCAAATATTGCTAGATAAACTCTGTAAATATGGTGTCCGTGGTAGGCCACATGATTGGTTCGCAAATTATCTCCAAAATCGCCAGCAATTTGTTCAAATTGGAAATGAAAAGTCAAGTTTATCAAAGATGACTTGTGGTGTACCACAAGGGTATACCTTAGGTCTCTTATTATTTTTAATTTATATCAATGACATTGCTAATTCATCGAACAAATTGTCCTTTCGCATCTTTGCTGACGATCATCTAACACTTTCTATGCTTCAGATAACATAAGTGATATCGAATCAGTTATGAACTGTGAAATGACTATGGTTCTGAATTATTGGGCATGTTCCATTAATAAATTATCTGTTAACATGAAAAATACTAACTTTATTTCAATAACCTCACCACGTAAAAAAGTCACTCCTATAAGTATTTTAAATTTTGAGCAGAAGGCTTGTATTAAGTAGCTTGGTGTTTATATAGAACAACACCTGAATTGGAAAGATCAAATTACCCATGTTAAAAACAAATTTAAGTATTCAAAGATATTGTGATCCTGTATAAACTAAGACACTATGTGAGTATACATGTTCTCAAGCAACTTTATTATACACTGATATACCCTTATTTAAACTATGCAGTTGTAGTATGGAGAAATACTTATCGATAAAATTTAAACAAGTTGTGTTCTCTTCAAAATTGATGCATTCTTTGTATATTTTTTGCTGATAGTAGAGAGTCATCTCAAGTTTTCTATAAACTTCTTGATATTCTTAAATTTGATAACACCATTAAACTGAGTACATGCTTACTCGCAATAAGATATTTAACAAGTCCTCCAATATTCCTTCACTGTTTCATGATTCCCTCAGAACAGTCTCTAGCTTGCCCAAGTATAACGCCAGATACGCCTCCAAGGGTAAATAAATTTTCATTGCCCAAAAGTAATTAAGAACCAACACCGGCAAATTTACCTTTGTATATGCTGCCTCGAAATAATGGGAAACGGTACCAACAAACTTGAAACGGCTCTCTATTAATAACCTTAAAAAGCGGTATAGAAATCATCTTCTCAAATGTCACTCATAGTTATGAATTTCCAACTAAGTTTCACTTTGTAATCATATCCATCTTTTTTTCCCGACTTTTCTGTAAGTAATTTTTTAATGCAACATCTCCATTCTATTTTCATAATACTTCTTGCCTTGTGAATTAGTTTAGTCTTAATTATTATTTGTTTTCTTCGTTCCTATTTTTAATTGTAAGTAAGCAGCAGCCAACGCGAAAGCTTTGCTACTTTGGCTGTTGCACACTAATTCAAAAATTGTATATATAATTATATATCTTCAACTATTTGTTTTCTATACTTTTTTTTTCTTTCTCTTTCTTCTACCTGAATAGTTTGAATAAAAATGTTGTTGTTGTTTTTGTTGTCTTAGTTCTCAAATAAAGGATCAAGAACACGATTTAACCATGAGGAAATTAGTCACTACCAAACGTTTACAAAATCAGCTGAAATCTCATTAGGAAGGAACAAAATGACAAAAACGCCTCTAGTTTTCGAACATAAACACTTCCATCTCTTGCACAGTGAAGTTTTGATTCCCTGTTAAAAAAAGGTTACCGTTCTGACCTGCTGGGCACTGGTACGTGTTACCAATGCTAACAGAGCAGTTGTAAGAATTTGGAGAGTTGCATATGGAAAGGTCAGGTCCAGTTCCAAATGTTGGACCAGTGCTACTGTAACAGTAGATGGCGTTACCTTCTTGACCATCTCTCAAAGGCATCTTTGTTGGTGGCAGACCACTGGCATTGACAAGGCTGAACAGGAAAGAACCTGGAGCTCTTTTGTACAATGGAGTACCTGACAAAAAATATCTGCTGAGTTAGATTGGTTGTATACCATTTCTCAAAAGTAAATAGGGATAAAACCACGACAAGAAATTGTCACGGCAATGATCAATGTCTGTGCTTGTGGGTGAGAGTTGTCACTTTCTGGTCAGTGCATCATGACCTCTGAAAAAATACTCTGCCCTTAGCTTAGTGTGGAATGAGACTGAAATTCAGTCTTCCTTGAAAGGAAGGAAGTTAACTAGTCACACTTTTTAAAAACGTTCATCAAAGGCTGTAATTTCACTATGTAGGTTTTAACAATGACAAAACTTAGGTAAAAGTATACAAGAAGTATTCACGCCCATCAACAAAAGTCCTCCTGAAATGAGGGGCTCTTTTAAAACTCGACCTTCCCATTGAATGGTCAGTAAAAAAGGTTTAGTCCATGGAAATAAGAGCAGGCTGACGACTCTATTATATCGCTGCAAGAAAGAAGAGGGGGTTGATAAGATGGTCCTGTGGATTTTTTCTGAGAGCTATAAATTTTAGAAATTGTAAAATAGGGTACTTACTGGATGTTTCTTATATTAATTTTACACTATGGGTTATAAAGCTTCCAGGAGCAAGCTATTACTGATTGTCAGTCTAATTTGGGATTTTTTTATTATTGCAAAAGTGGCACTTCCTGACCGATTCAAGTTTACTTTCTTGTTTTGTTTTATATTTTCCCGGCAGTTCCCGAGCAAAATACTTCTCCCTTCCGTGAATAATTTGTAAAGGGAAAGTGAAACAGCAACTGTACGTGCAAAAGGTTAGGATAGGATACTCTATCATAGAGGGAAAAAAAAGTAAGGGAGTTTGATGGGGCAAATAGGAAGGTCTCTTACTTAGCGATTGCCATGGTTGCGCAGTATATCCTCCAAATATGCAATCTCCACTCTTGATCACTGTAACTGTTGGTCCTTTGTTATCACAACAGGAATGAAAGTTAGAAGCAGCCCAGCCATTGCGAGAAGCTCGGTATAACAACACGTAATCGTCGCTCAAGCTTTCGCGAGTGTCTTTCAGCCAGTCTGTCAGGGTTTCGCGCTGTTCTGAAGACAGAATTGCAGAATCTTTAAACGGGTTTGCTTTCAACTCATTGAGTATCCCATCGATTTGATAGAATTCCGCCTCGTTTAACAGCTCCTTGCGAACGACTGTATCGTCCGGTAAAACGAGTTTTCCAGTGCGAAGATAATTTAGGATATGTCGGAAGTGGGTTCCATCTCGATCGATGAAGTAAGATCCATCCTCACCAGGTTTTGTGTCAAATCTACCTGAAAACATGGCATGTAACATGGACCCTGGAAAAACAAGATGGGAAAACCATTTCAATAACTAAATCCTTTTTTTCTTTTGTGAAGAATCAACTAAATTTGGCATCGAGCCTCTTTTAGCCTGATGTATCCAGTCAACCAGAAGTAATGGCGGATTATTTAGGACAGCGTTCCACATGTATGTTCGCCACAAAATAAGTGTAGAGACACGGGTGTAAGCTCATTTAATTACAGAGGTCGGCCCACAGAACGTAAGTATTGTTTTGAGCGATGGATTCTATAACCAAATTGTCTCAGCAAGTAGAACAGATGCGGACACGAACAGGATTTGAATCAACGGATAAACAACTGAATGGAAGCGAAGGTTGTACAGTTATCAAACAGGTAGATCTCAGTCCTTATTTCGAAATTCAAAAACAATTTCAAAGTACCTGGATCTTTAGTCATGGTCGCCAAACTTGTTGAGAAAACATGGCCACCGACGTTAAGCTTCAGCATCGTCGAGAAATGAACATGCTCGAGCTTCTTGGCAACCTCGTCGAACGCATTTCTCTCCTTGCGAAGTTTGTTCGTCTCACGCTTCAGAATGTCGAATGCTTCTTTGATGTGTTTATTCACTTCGTCTAAAGCTTCCTCGTTAGAGCGACCTTTCTCCAAGCTACGCTTCGATGACATTTTAACTGAACTGGGTTGTACAAAAGACAAAAGGACAGGTACCGAAATAAATACTTTTCCGAGAAGCCCGAGTTATTTTGACTCTTCTCAGAATCTGCCTGCTCATGTGGATTTCTCGGAAATTATGGGTGTATCAATTTCGTCATGCATAATTACTTCGAGTCGCGCCACTGAAATTATAATAATTAGATACTGTAAAATATTCATCGGCACTAAAACGTCATATGGCTAAACACTACTGACTTTGTAAGAAACCCATTGTTAGAATGAAAGAGATAAAAACAAACAAAATGTACAAAAGAGGAAGCATCAGTTTTAAGAATTTGTTCATGCTTGCCGTGCGTATATCGAGTTATGGATGCAGGTGGGAAGTTTTGAGAGCACGAAAAATACGTAAGAGCAGCTCGAAGCGCATCCAAGAGCTACTTTTACTAGCTTTTTTTAGGGCTCTTCAAACTTCCCGCATGCATCCATAACTCGATATGCGCACAGCTAAAAGTATGAACAAATTCTTTTATAACTGAGCGACAACAAGGATCTGCACGAAGAAGCGTTTTTATTGTGATGGAGTGCAAAATTCTCACAACACACAAAAAAGCCAACAAAACTTCTTGTAAAACCCGGGGTCCCCTCAGTTCTAGTACCCCCGCGAGTCTTGGTTTGCCAACATGACTAGGTTACCAAGCCGATTTCAACGGTCGTTGTGTCGTGTTTAAAATAGGGAGCTCAAGCAACCACGACGAAAGGGACGACGACGACGTCAAGTAATCGCGGAGGGTCTGGAACGAGGACTTCGTTTTTAGGAAAATGAAACTTAAGCAGTGAAGTTGCTCAAGGACGACGACGTCTGAAATCTTGTTTATTCTCGCTTCGTCAGTTTAAGAAATGACATCGTTCATAGACGTCCAAAACCTTCTTCTTCTCACTCATGGATCAAATTTCCACATATATATCGAAAGTTCGAGAGTAGGTTATTCAATTCTTGAACATCAACAGTCCAAGGAATTATTAAGCTTTAGCTTTATTTACAATAATTTACGCATCGCAAAAGTTTAAAATATTAAATTTTACGCAAGTT